ATATACCATGCTCATGGATTGAAAGAATATTGTTAAAATGTACATACTACCCAAAGCAATCTATAGATTCAGTGCAATCCCTCCCAAGATCCCAACGGCATTTTTCACAGAAAGAACATCTTAAAATAAGTATGAAACCACAAAAGACCCTGAATAGCCAAAGCAATCTTTTTTTTTAAGATTTTATTTATTTATTTGACAGAGACACAGCAAGAGAGGGAACACAAGTAGAGGGAGTGGGGGAGGGAGAAGCAGGCTTCCCGCGGAGCAAGGAGCCCGATGTAGGGCTCGATTCCAGGACCCTGGGATCATGACCTGAGCCGAAGGCAGACGCTTAACAACTGAGCCACCCCGGTGCCCCTAGCTAAAGCAATCTTGAGAAAGAACAAAGTTGGAGGCAACCTGCTCCCTGATTTCAAACTATATTTCAAAGCTCTAGTGATCAAAACGGTATGGTATTGGCATAAAACCATCCTAGGTCAATAGAACAGAATAGAGAGCCCAGAAATAAACCCACATATGTATGGTCAACTAATTTACAACAAAGGAGACAAGACTATACATACCGTGAGGAAAGGACAGTCTCTTCAATAAATGGTGTTGAGAAAAACTGGACAGCCACACTCAAAAGAATGAAACCAGACTACTATCTTACACCATACACAAAAATTAACTCAAAATGGATTAGAGACTTGAATGTAAGACCTGAAACTATAAAACTCCTAGAAGAAAACATTGGCAGTAAGCTCCTTGACACTGGTCTTGTTGATGATTTTTGGATCTGACTCCAAAAGCAAAGGCGACAAAAGCTAAAATAAATGGAACTACATCAAACTAAAAAGCAGAACAGCAGGTTCCTGGGTGGCTCTGTCAGTTAGGCATCTGACTCTTGATTTCGGCTCGGGTCATGGTCTCAGGATCGTGAGATCAAGCCCTGTGTTTGGCTCCACGCTCAGCAGGGAGTCTGCTTGACATTCTCTCCCTCTCCCTCTGCCCCTCCTCCTGCTCATGCGTGTGTGTGTGCTCTCTAAAATTAAAAAAAAAAAAAACTTTTAAAAAGCTGAACAGCAAAGAAAACCAACAAAATGAAAAGGCAACCTATTGAATGAGAGAAATCTTTGCAAATATTTTATCTGACAATGGGTGAATACCTGAAATATATGAAGAACTCATACAGCTCAATAGCAAAAAAAGAAAGAAAGAAATATCTGTGCTCGTTTCGGCAGCACATATACTAAAATTGGAACGATACAGAGAAGATTAGCATGGACATATAAAATAAAAGTTACATGATGCCTCTGTTTAAAAAAAAAGAAAAAGAAAAAAATATCTGATTTAAAAGTGAACAGGGGCCTCTGGGTGGCTCAGTCTCATTAAGCGTCTGCCTTCGGCTCAGGTCATGATCCCAGGGTCCTGGGATCAAGCCCCGCATCGAGGTCCCTGCTCCACGGGAAACCGGCTTCTCCCTCTCCCACTCCCCCTGCTTGTGTTCCTTCTCTTGCTGTGTCTCTGTCAAATAAATAAAATCTTTAAAAATAAATAAATAAAAGTGGACAGAAAATGGGGTGCCTGGGTGACTCGGTTAAGTGTCCAACTCTTGATTTCAGCTCAGGTCATGATCTCAGGGTCGTGGGATCGAGCCCTGTGTTGGGCTCCACGTTGAGCTAGGGGCCTGCTTGAGATTCTCTCTCTCCTCCCCCTGCCCCTCCCCTCTCAGTCACACTCTCTCTAATTAAAAAAAAAACAATGGGTAGAGGACCCTAATAGACAATTTTCCAAAGAAGGCATACAGATGGCCAATAGGCACATGAAAAGGTGCTCAAATCACTAATCAGGGAAATGCAAATCAAAACCATAGTGAGATTTCCACCTTACACCTGTTAGAGTGGCTATTCTCAAAAAGACAAGAAATAACAAGTGTTGGCAAAGATGTGGAGAAAAGAACCCTTGTGTGGGGATGCAAACTGGTGCAGCCACTATGAAGAACAGTATAGAGTTTTCCTCAAAAAATTAAAAATAGAACTTCTGTATGATCCAGCAATTCCACTTCTGGGTATTTATCCAAAGACAATGAAAACACTAATCTGAAAAGATATATGCACCACCCCCCATGTTCACCGCAGCATTATTTACAATAGCCAAGATATGGAAACAACTAAGTGTTCATCGATGGATGAATGGATAAAGAAAATATGGCATATATATAGAATAGAATACTATTCAGTCATAAAAAGAATGAAATCTTGCCATTTGCAACAACATGGATGGAGCCCTGAGAGGGCATTATGCTAAGTGAAATAAGTTGGACAGAGAGACAAATACTGTATGATCTCATTTGTGGAATCAAAAACAAACAGGGGCACTAGACTGGCTTAGTAAAGCATGTGACTCTTGATCTCAGGGTTCTAAGTTTGAGCCCCACATTGGGTGCAGAGATTACTTAAAAAAATAAAAATAGCCTGGGTGGCTCAGTCAGTTAAGGGTCTGTCTTTGGCCCAGGTCATGATCCCAGGGTCCTGGAATTGAGCCCCGCATTGGGCTCCCCACTCAGCAGGGAGTCTGCTTCTCCCTCTGCCCCTCCTCCAGCTCATGCTCTCTCTCAAATAAATAAAATCTTAAAAAAAAAATAAAATAAAAACAACAAACAAAAACACCAACCTCATAGATACAGACAACAGATTGGTGGTTGCCATGGTGTGGCAAATAGGTGAAAGGGATCAAAACTAGAGTTACAAAATAAACAAGGCAGTCCGCCCTTGGGGAGTGTAAAGCCAAGTGAGAATAAACCCTAAGTTCCTAGAACACTGTAAGTTTTGTAAGGTTACTTTTTTTTTCTAAAGATTTTATTTTTAAGTAATCTCTGCACCCACCCAGGGGCTTGAATTTACAACCCTGAGATTAAGAGTTGCATGTTCCCCCATAAAGTTACATATCTTGAGCTCTTATATGCGAGGTGCCATTCCGCGCACTTGACAATTTAACCTCACAATTCTGTTGGATAGGTACTATTATTATCTCCATTTCTCTGCTAAAGAAATGTAGATATAAAGAAGTTAAATACCTGGCTGGTAAGTGGCAGAACCTGTTCAATCACATAGTAATTAACTGAGCATTAATGATGGGAGATCTAGGAAGGGCATGAATGAGGGCACTCACACTCTTGCTACAAGTTCCTGGAGATTTTGTGACATCGTGTGGGCTCTGGTCACATTTTCTTTGGCCCTTGGTGAAGTCCCCATCAGTTTAACAGGCAGCATAACCATGAGAAAAACATGTCTTGGGAGTCCACAGGGAGCTGGATTCAAATCCCAGGGTTCCCACTTAAGTGATGAATTTGACCAAGTCAAAGCTTCACTTGCCTAATAGGAACAACAACCGGCTACACTGGGAAGTCATGAGGATTCAATATAAAGTTGAGCCATATGGGGGCACCTGGGTGGCTCAGTCCATTAAGGGGGGGCGGAGTCTTGATACCAGTTCAGGTCTTTGTCTCAGGGTCCTGAGTTCAAACCCCTAGATGCGCTCCACACTAGGCCTGGAGCCTACTTTCTTTTCTTTTCTTTTTTTTTTTTAGATTTTTTAAATTTATTTATTTGAGAGAGAGAGAGAATGAGAGATAGAGAGCACGAGAGGGAAGAGGGTCAGAGGGAGAAGCAGACTCCCCGCTGAGCAGGGAGCCCGAAATGGGACTCGATCCCGAGACTCCAGGATCATGACCCGAGCCGAAGGCAGTCGCTTAACCAACTGAGCCACCCAGGCGCCCCCTGGAGCCTACTTTCAAAAAAAAAAAAAAAAGAGTTGAGCCATATGAAATTGCTGTTTACGGACGTCTAAAACGGGGCTCCGGGCGCCTGGGTGGTACAGTTCGTTAAGCGAAGGACTCTTGGTGTCCACTCAGTCATGATCTCAGGGTTGTGGGATCCGCCTGCTTCTCACTCTGCGCTCAGTAGGGAGTCTCTTTGGGGTTCTCTCTCCCTCTCCCTCTGCCCCTCGTGCTCCTGCTCTATCTAAAATAAACTATTATTTTTAAGAGTGGAATCCACCAAAATAGTTAACATTCCTCTGTGCTTCTGATTTTTCCAGTCCTAAATTCCTTTTTCCTATCCTGCTTAAGGCTCAACTGTTTGGGTGGCCCTGGTGACTCAAAATTGCATATTGTTGATCTACCCTCTGGAGGCCAGTCAATTAGCCCGTGGCAGCCTCATGAGATTCGGCAATTCCTACAAGGATCTGGAGCTTCTTTCCAGCCAGCCACAAACACATCCCTTGGGGGCCAGAGAAGTCAAGAGCCATGACATCTCCATGCCCTGCCACACAGAGACTCAGTGCACTTTCATCCTTCTTTCCACAGCCTATTTTGCACTTATTTTTCGCTGTACGGCGGGCAGTGATGTTGGCTCCATTTTAAATATGCAAACTTGAGGGCTAGAGAGAGTCGGGCACCAAATAGTGTTGGAAGTAACGGGGTTTTGACGTTAGATAGATCAGTCCAGGCAATGCCTCTAGTGTCTGACCGGCTCCAAGGCCTTGAACCTCTCCAACCTGTTTCCTTTTCTGGAGAAGGGCGCTTAATATCTCCTTTCCTCATATAGCTCTTTTGGGTTCAACCCAGGTTTTCCAGGGCTCGCCTCTGGGAGCTCGGGATGTGGCGAGTTGACCCACGCGGAGACACTGAGGAGAGCGCGTGCGCGCCGCGGGGGGTGGAGGGAAGGGCTCCGCCCAGCGCGCGCACAGCCACGGCCATGCATAAATATCGGTATTTTCTTTCCACTGGCGACAGAACTGGCCTCGACATGCCCAGGACCCGGCCGACTACAAGTACCGGGTGTGTCTCAAAAGCCGGAACTGAAAGTACCCAGCCCCCGGCAGTGCGGAACAATTGTGCTATCCCCACAGCAGGCGGGGCCGGAAAGCTTGGGCGGATAAGGCCCGCGCCTGCGCGTCTCCATCTTTCTCGGAAGAGACCGCCTCCCTCCCTGCCCACGACTCGTAAGGGCGGGCCGTCGCCGGACCATGGCGACCGCGGATCCTAGCGGGTCCGGGTTACGGACGTCTACCCCGGGACCCCGGCCCGGCGGGACTCCGGACTGCGCAGCGGGACCTACGGGGCTGCCCTTCGGGCGAAGCGGCAGTGGAGTCCCCCGATTGGGGGAGCGGCCCCCGGCGGTTGTGGAGAAGAGGGGACCGTACATGGTGACGCGCGCGCCTTCCATTCAGGCCAAGCTGCGTGAGTGCGGCCCGATGGGGGGGTGTTTCCACCTGGGCGGGCTACCTGGTCCCCCGGGCAGGCTCTGGAGCCCTGCCGGGGCGACCCCGAAGGGGCAGCTGCAGCCCGCTCCCGTCCCAGAAAATCTGTTCGGAGAGAGGGGCCTCCTGGCGTTTGGGAGACACCGCGGAGTGGGGAAGACCCCGCTGACCCGGGCCTTTTGACTTCCAGAGAAGCACCGGGACCTGGCCAAGGCTGTTCTACGGAGAAAAGGCATGCTGGGGGCCTCGCCGAACCGCCCCGACTCTTCAGCGAAAAGGTCTCAGCAGGCGCCACCTCCTCTGTGCAAGCAGTTTCCATTAAAGGCCTTGGTCTTCGGGCTGGGAGACAAGAGTTCTCACGTTTTAAGACCGAGCTAGTGATTCACCTGACGCCAACCCGTCTTTTTCGCTATTTTAAAATGGGAAGAGAAATGACCTTTTCTTTTCCTTTAAGGATGTAATGATGTCAAGGAAAGGGCTTTGGAATAACAGTTTTGTCAGTGCATGGGATTATTCTCTGGGAGCAGCACAGTGGCTGGGTACCCTAGGAGTGAGGATAGAAAGCAGTGTGGGAACAGCCAGTGCTGTATTTCTTTTTCAACAGAATGGTAAACTCTGAGGGCTGGATAGGATCTTATCCAGAGCCTCTTATAGATAAGAGCTCAAACTCAAGAGAGGTGAAGAAGAGATTTGCCCCAGGACTTGCAGTTTTTCTGTTCGCTGGTTAAAGTAAGGTGAAGTGGGGGAGCTTTCCCCGGACTCGAAAGAGTAGGTGTGCTTTTCCTCAGGAGCAGTAGGGGGAGTGGTGTGGGGAAGTGCATATTCCCAGTGGCTGTAGCCAGATACAGGGCAGGCAGTGGTGGCTGTGTGACAGAAGGCAAGACAGGAGTACTACAGTCAGTTCTTTTTCCATAAGAGCAAGGACTCTGGCTTTCCCTGTGAAATGTTGCTTTATCTATGCTTGGTCTCTTCCCCATCTCCTCTCAGGTCAGTGAAGTTTAACAAGGGCTATACTGCCCTTAGTCAGAGTCCAGATGAAAACCTGGTGTCCCTCGACTCTGACAGGTGAGTGCTCTCCTTGAAAATATCCCTTGGGGAGTGACTTGGGTAAAACTGCAGATCTCTTCCAAGACCCTTCATGCATGTTCCAGAGCTGTCTTCAGAGCATTATCCCTTCCCAGGATAGCTTGGTTAGAGGACTCAGGTGATCATGCTGCTCTTCGATTTGGAACACTAACCTCGTGTGGGGGAATCCTCCCCCCCGTTATATCTTCACTGTTAGTGACAGTGACCCCATCCCTGCTAGAGCCAGTAGAAAGAGTCGGTGGTACTCATGACAGATTCTGGGCTTGAGTTCTTTGATGGTCTTTGTTTCACAAGTCCTCCAGACCCCCTTGCATGCTCTCCACCTTGCCATTTGCAGCTGGGCTCCACAGGCATTCCCCTGAACTGACTGTTTTCCTCTTCTCCTAGTGATGGGGAGCTGGAATCCAGATACTCCTCCGGGTATTCCTCTGCAGAGGCAAGTCCAGAGCGCCTTTCTGCACGGGGCCAGGCTGCAGGCAGCGTCACCGCCACTGCCAAATGCTTGTCTTGTGCCTGCTGTATGCACGGCACTGTGCCAGACTTCTGGTCTGTTCTCCAATCTTCTCTTCTGCCCTACTCCCCCAGCAGAGGTATAGGTCTCTGAGGAAAGCTGTTGAAAATCCAAGAGACCATAGACCTTTAGGGCTGAAAGGACCTCACAAGTCTTCTAGCCCAGGTGACCACTTAGAAAAGGAATCCTCTTGAAAAATCCCACCTAAGTGTTTACCAGCCTCTGCTTGCTTGAATGCTTCTTGTAACTGGGTACTCACTCCCTCCCAGAAGCCCTGCTGCCTGCCCTTACTCCAACACACACACACACACACACACACACATTCCTTCTTCAGGTAGCTCTTAGAGAAGTCTTCCTTATTAATTTGAAATGTCTCCTGCACGATGGACTCAGTGGTCCTAGGCCTGTCCTCCAGTGTCACCCAGTAATTCTAGTGTCCCTTTCTTTGATTGCTTTTTATCTGAGATCAGCAGTCCTGTCTCTCCCCTGGCCATTCTCCACCAAGTTTGCTTTCTTCCAGGCCAAACAACGTGTGTTCCTTCAGTTCCATCAATGGGAGCTCAGACTGAGATACCAGTGGGCTGGCCTTTTGCACACATTTCCAGAGTGACAGTCCCAGACAGAGACACGGGGACGGAAAGATCTGTCATGTGCAGCTTACTGCCTTAGATAGAGGCAGAATGCTGGAGACATGACTGTACGCCACTGGTATTTTTTCCTTGTTCTGGAAACCCTTGGCCAGCCCCCTGAGTGTCTGCCAAAGAGAATAGAAGCAGTTTGTAAATTTTATCCTCCTTGAATATCTGGGTGCCTGAGATTGTTAAAACTAAGAAAAGAAAAATTAGCCAAGAGCCAGAGAAAGTCCTATGCTGTTCCCAATCTCCTGTTTCTTCTGCTCAGCAGAACTGGTAAAGCGGGGCTGACAGGGTCCACTTTGCAGGGAGCAGGCTCTGCTGGCATAAAGGCTATAGCACGTTTAACCGGCAGTGTGGACAAAGCTGCTCCCCACCCCATTCTACATAACTCATCTTCTACCCCATTGTTCTGGTATCCTTGTCCTGTATTCTTCAGCCTTTACAGGGACCAGCCGACTAGGCCATTGACTTTCAAATGTAATCTGGAATCTGATATTTACATCAGATTCTTTAGTGAGAACAGCTCCCCTGGGGGTTAGTGACACTGCAGCCTGGACAGGACTGGCTCGGGCTGCTTGGGGCCCCTCGTTGCTGGGTGGGGGCACTTCCTCATGTAGTACAGTGATGCGTGGAGTTGTCCTGAGGGTGGAGTGTGGACAGGAAGCTCTGGTAAGGGAATGTAGGTCTGCCCTTTTTGGCAGCAGTTATTTCTGCTTTGCCACCTGGCTTATAGTTCTCTCCTCTTCTGCTCTTAGCAGGTGAACCAGGATGTGAGCCGGCAGCTGCTCCAGGATGGGTATCACCTGGATGAGATTCCAGATGATGAGGACTTGGACCTCATTCCTCCCAAGCCTATAGCCTCTTCAACATGCTCCTGTTGCTGGTGCTGTCTTGGGGACTCTTCCTCCTGTACCCTCCAATAGACATAACCCCCTAAGATGGGCCCTGCTCCCCATGCCTGCAGAGCCCTGTTGGCCCTTCTTAGGTCACAGAGTGCAGTTGGGGACTGCTGTCAGCCCCAGAATCACTGGAGGCACTGACTCTCTGGGAAGGTCAATGACCTGCAGTTACGCCTTACCTGGTGCTTCTCAGGCCAGAGGCCCCCATCTGGGCCATAGGGTGACAGGTGGAATTCTGCAATTTTCCTCTGCTATTAGAGCAGAGTTTGGAAAAACCACTTTAATAAGGGCAGGAGCAGAGGAATTCTGATGCTTGTGGTGACAGAGTTGGCTAAGGAAATCTTGCAGACATCTTGACTGGTATTTGTCCTGCTCAATGGCGGGAGAAAGAGCTTTTGTGCCCGGGCTATGCTGGACGGTGTTGTATGGAAGCAGAAAATAGCACTTTATGGCTTGCAGCTGGGAGTCTTTGGAAACTAGCTGAACCATTTGGGACCAGTTTAAGAAATTCCATAATGCTCCGTCTTCCTGGCTCCACAATGGGACCCTCAAGAATGCATAAAGCAAGGCCCTTTGGCTCTCTTCCCCTTGCACCTGTTTGGCCCTGGCAGGGAATACAGCCTGCCGCTTGATGGCACAGCAGGATCAAGGCTTCCAGAATCCCTGGACCCAGAGCATCCCCAACTGGCTCAAACTGGGTGGGTTTAGTGACTGTGGTCAGCCCACCCCTAGTTAGAGAAAAATTGCTCCACTATGTACATATTTATTTATTTGTCTTTCCTTGACTACCATTCTTTGCCTTGGTCTTAGCTAGTTCAACACCCAGTCTTTGAGTGTAAAGGTTGGGTGAAGGGACTGGAGTTCGCCCCAGAAGCCTGCAGGTTTGGGTGACCAGCAGAGGGAGCTGCAGGGAGCGGTCAGGTGCCTTCCTAGTTAGCTTTTGAAACTTGAGACCAGCAGTGGGTGAGAAGTGTACTGGCACAGCTGTGTGGGCTGTGCACCCTACACGTAAGGACGCCAGGATGGGGAGGAGGGACGTGCGCCAGCTGCCAGGGCCCCTGCCGGAGGAGATAATTGCTCAATGCAGAGGGCCTCCCTTCACGCCAGCATGGGCCTCCCCGCAGATACTGAGGATTGGGCGTTACAGTGAACCTCTGGGGTAACCCAGCCTCAGCCCTCATTGTGAACACAGCTGAGACAGGCCTAATCTCCTCAGTGACTGTGCTAGTTCACCCCACCCCAGGTGGTATCTCTTGCTCTACCGGTCCTCTCTAGAATTGTTTTCAGTGGTTCTTTTTGGCCTCACCTAGAGCCATGGCGAGCACTGGAGGGGTGTGGACATGGTTCCCAGCGTAAGGGGCGTGGTAGTTAGGATTGGGGTGTGGGCCCCCCATGGGAAGTGCCTGATCTGGTGATTTATTTGATGTCCTGTGGCCTCTAGAGGAATGAGGGATGACATGGACTCTTGTTTTACCACATGAGGTGACTGAAAGGCTGAGGTCAGTTAAAAAGACCTTGTCAGATGACGAGGGTCAGCTATCAGTGCTTGATTGGCCTCTGTCTTGGTGCTGTTGTCGAATCATAGGAAGTTAAGAATATATGGCACCCAGGGGGCTGTGGTTAACATTTTATAATCTAGTAGCATCACAGGAGGGAGATGGGACGGAGGCCACAGGCACCTGAGGTTGGGGTCTGGGGACTCAGGGCCGCAGACTGTTCCAGGAGTGGGACTCTACAGTGCCACACAGGCGCCTCACATGCTGAGCACTTGGTGCCCATGCCTGCAGGCAGGGAAGACAGAACATCTTAATCCCAAATCCCTTGCCCCTCCACAGAGACTATTTTCAGGCCTTTCTGGTTTCTGCAGAGGTGCCGAAGTACGCATGAAGAGAGGACACAGATGCGGGGCAGTGTAGAGAGACGGTGGTGGTAGCAGGAGGCCGTGTGGGGCCACACACGTGTGGGGGAATTAGGACAGAACAGCCTGAGCATTTAGCAGCAGCTGTGGGTGAAGGTGGCAGCAGGACCCCAAGACGCCCTCCAGATGGTTGTTACTTTCAACACTGATCCTGCAGAGGATGTTCCAGAACTGGCTGACTCCGTGCGGAATGCATTCTCTTTGTGGGGAAATTTGGAGGAACAGGGCAGCTAGGCAGGGTAGAAATGGTCTGTTGTTTGGGGCGAGAGGTCCCAGGCTAAAATGTCACCAGTAAAGGCATCAAGGTGCCTAGGGCCAAAGTGCCTTAATTCAGAGTGCTAGGTATTCTGCAGGTGACAGTGTCCTGGGGAGAGAGGGGTGTATTTGCAGTTAACCTCACAGAGGGGAGTATGTGTATGGTGTTTACAGAGTACAGAACTCTTAGCTTAGGCTTCTACAGCTCTGGAAGTTTCTAAGAATAAATACAATCATGCTAGTTGAGCTGTCTCTGTGTTGCAACAGGATTTTAAAGCAAGGCCTAGACCACAGCCCTCTGCTTCTGAAATGAAAAGCCTAACAGCCCCAGCTGTGGCCATTCCTCCTAGGATCTCCCTCTCCCTGCTATTCCCAGTGGGCATCATTTTCAGGCCTGCATCATTGGAGGGAGCACACCTTTGTACAGCATTTCTCTTTAGATGGCGTTCCTTTTGTAGACCCTTTGTTTTGCCAGGTCATCTTTTGTTTTTTAGCTGAACAAAATTTGGAGGCCAAGAAAACCCCAGAACAGATTGGCCAGAACTTTTTTGAAGGTAGTTTCCTGGATTTCCCTTGTGCAGGGGGTCTAGAATGGGCAGCAGCCCGGAAAGATCCTTTTGTGCCAGTCTAAACCCTAACTCCACAGGAAGGAGTCAACAGCCTGGGGCTCTGCTTAGTCTGGGGTGACAGGATCTCAGACAGCTGTGCCACCTCTCGCAGAGGTGTATCCATGTCTAGAGGGTAGGCACAGGGTGAGTAGATGTCCTATATACTTTCTGCCATTTTAGAAAATGTAGCTAGGTTTCTCTTCACAACACAAATGGGGTCGTCCCGTCCCCGAATCCCCGTATGTATAATAACTGAACGTGTTCTAAAGAAATGGCTAACAAACTTTGTCTGTGAAGGGCCAGTCAATACTTATGGCTTTGCAGGCCATATAGTTTGGTGCGTCTATAACATTTTGCCACTGTAGCCTGAAAGCAGCAGGACAGAATGTAAATGATGGCTGTGGCTAGATCCAGCCTGCTGGCCTTAGCTTGCTGAGCCCTGCCCTGAGGCCAACTGAGAACACTTAGGAATCTTGCCCTGACTACCTGTCCTTAGATTCACCTTCCACATCTGCAGGACCCCAGGTCAGCCTGCAAGCTCCACAGCTAAAGCTGAAGCTGGCTGCCCCTCCCATATGTTCCTATAAAACGCTCCATATATACCCACCCTGGGGAGCTGTTGGAAGCAGGAATTAAAAGCAAAAACTGACATCCAGGAAGGGCTCGATCAGCCCACTTTCAAGGACTGGAACGCTGAAGGCTGACTGCTCTACCTCATAGCCTCAACACAAGTGACCTTTAATTGCTTTGACAGAGCCGGAGGGTGACGAGTAACATTAGTCCACAGGCCTACTCTTTCCCCCTCCTTTGCAGCTGAGGAAATGGGCAGTCCCAGGACCAGAACCCTCTTCTTAGAACTTACCTACCCTCTTGCTGTGAGTGATGCTGAACTAATCACAGATTTTTACCAGCCTACCTAATGCTGTTGGCTGGAACAGAGCTGCTGCCTCCTGCCTTGAGGAGAGCCTGGCTCAGGTATGGTGAGGATACAAGGGGAGTGTCAGGTCTTAGTCCTCACCAGGGTCCTCCTCCCAAAAGATGGTTTGTCCGAGGCTTGCTCTGGAGTCAACCTTCAAGCTCACTACTCTACCCCCGCTCTTCCAGGGCATACTCGAGTCTAGAGCAGGGATGGGGTTGGAGCTGGGCCTGAGAAGAGGCTGGCCAGGATTTAGGGTAACCGTCAGAGAGCCAGGAAGGCTATGGTCTCTACAGCAGGCAGCAGGCACGGAACATCAGTAGGTCATCGGGCGCAGTGAGCTTCAGTGAGACGCTCTCATTGGCCCCAATGAAAAGCACCCCACCACGCTGCAGGGGGATTGGCGTCTGGACTGTAGGACTGCTGGCTGTCACTCTCCCCTGGACCACCAGGACGATGCTGGCAGAGTCCACTGCCAAGACCTTGTATTCAGTGATGGAGCCAGGGACCTGGGCAGAAAGAAACAACAGGATGATGCAGCTCGTTTTCTGTGCCTGTCCGCTCACGGGGGGGCCAGGACAACCTCGGGCAGCGAGAGGGAGGGCTCGCCCACCTTCTCCCCCACTGCTCAGGCTCCTGTCAGCATGGAGGCCCACGTCTGGTCCCTGGTACAAAGAGGAATGGGTAGGCCCTGCGGCGGCGGCTAGGGCATGTCTACCCTGCCCACCCCCCGCCACCTCCTTTAAAAGAAAGGGAACCCAGTTCCAGGTGTACTCCACATTGTGGCCCTTGCCAGGCTTTTTCATGCCATTCGAAAGACACCCACCACCATAGCCGCCACCCCCCCCCCCACTCACCTCCATCCTCATGACAGTGAAGTCTGGCACGGGGGGGTCATAGATAGAGAGGTAGGGGTCTTCCAGACTCTGTGTTGGGAGAAAGAGCCTGTCCTTGCTGGGGATATAGCTGAGCATTTCACACAGGGTTGGCACATCGATGAACTTGGGGGTCAGGCCAGCACGAACGGTGTTGTCTGAACACGCCATGCACTCCACACAGTCTGGGGACAGACAGGTGTCATGTGCTAACCTGATGAAGGATGTCTTGGAGTTTGGCTCATCAGGGCTGGGCCTCCTAACCCGAGGGCCATGAACCCCCTGCAGAGTTAGGCAAAAATGTGTGAAATGCATAATCTGGGAGAATGGGCTAAGAGATACCAAAAACAGGTGGTAGGTCACCCACTTTTGTTGGGGTGTCATGTTAGCCCCTGGGGGAGCCCCAACCCTCCCCAGACTTTATTCTACCACAGAATCCTGTCCGTGAGTGGATAAATAGCCAACAGTCAAAATGTGACACCTTTCTGTGGCAATGTATTTTCTCACAAAAATTCCTGGATAGGACAGACAGGCAAAGGTAGTGTGAGGCAGGGGAGAGAACAGCAGCCTTGAGCCAATGTAGCCTGGGTTCAGATTGTTCCCACACATGCAGACAGGGTAGCATGAGAGTACTGTGACCTCACAGGGTCCGTGTGAAGATTCAAGCAGTGTCTAACACTAAGCTGGCATTCTTCATCCCTACTGGCCACTAACCAGCCCACCCCAGGAACCCTGGGAGGTCAGAGCTGGTGGGACCTTAAAGGTCTCTCTTTGACCTCCCCCTCCCCCTTTTATCTAGATGAGGAAGCAAGGCTTGGTAATGGGGCTCACTGCTAAAATGTGGCTCACCTTGGGGTACCTGGCTGCCTCAGTCAGAGGAGCATGTGACTCTTGTTGATCTTGAGGTTGTGAGTTCAAGTCCCACACTGGTTACAGAGATTACTTAAAAATAAAATCTTAAAAAAAAAAAAGTGGCTCACCTCCTTTCAGGTAGGCATGGGGCACATTAGCCTCCAGAAACATGGCCTCTCCCGGCTTCAGGGCAAGCAGGTTCAGGAAGTAGATGGCAAAGCATCCAATATCACCTGGATACTGCTGGTGCAGCTGCAGTAAGAGGTCCCCATAGATGTCTTCCATGTTGTTTCCAGCAGCCACTGAGGGTCACAGAGCAGCCCAAGGCCACTTAGGAACACACTCAGTGGTGTTCATAGCCCCACCTTGGCCAGCAAGTCCTGGGCAAGTCCCTGCCCACAGGAATCCAGAAACGGGTAGGTGTGTTCTCCTAGCCACGACCCCACCCTTTGGGGGCCAGCTTTCCTTGATCTTCCAGCCCATAAAGATGCCATTTTCCCTCTGATTGTCTATGTGCCCAGCATTATTCCAGCCACTAAAAGGGCTAAAGTTTGGGGCCAGATAATCCTTTGTTGTGGGGGCTGTCCTGTGCACTGCAGGATGTTTAGCAGCATCTTTGGCCTCCACCCAAAAGATAGCACCCCCAACCCATGTTTGGAAACAAAAAATGTCTATAGACATCTGCCAGTGTCCCCCGGTTGAGAACCACTGCTGTAGAGCTCAATCTATTTAGGGGATAACCCAAGAGTTCCATATGGGGTGACCGACTGTCCCAGACAGCTCAGGCCCTTCCCTTTTTTAGCCCTGAAAGTACGGTGTCTCAGAAAATCATTAAGTCCCAGGCAAACCGAGTTGGTTGGTCACCCCAGAGAGCAAGAGGCAGAATATGCCCAGGAACAAAAATGTGTCCTCAGCCTGGGCTAGAGTAGTGGGGGAAGGCTTTGGGAATTAGGGGAGGGCAGGGTGGTGAACTCAAATTTCTTGAGTGTGCAGAGAGGAGGGAAGGGCATGAGTAAGTGAAAGCTGAATGTGTCAGTGCCAAAGTGAAGAAACCAGCTGGTCTGGATTGGAGGGTGGTTCTGAGTCTTCCTACAAAGACGTGAATACCCGCTCTGTGCTAAGCACTGGGAACATAAAGGTCCAAGAGCCAGGTCCGCGGCCTGGAGAAAACCCTGGTTTTCACAAGTGTGCATGTGATGATACAGACTCACAGGTGCTAAAGGCTCTACCTCACTTAGGAACAGGGGGTTCTGGGAACTCCCGGCAAGCGTAATCTGTTCTGTCAAGAGTGCAAGAAGCCCCAAAGGGGAGGCATGTAAGCAGAGACAACACCAAAAACTAAACAAAACAAAAAAAAACCCAAAGAAAACAAAGGATATGCTTGCATAAAATAGTTCTCTGTGGCTCAGAGGTAGCAGGAGAAATGTGTAGAGAGAGAACCAGAAGAGCTCCAGGGTCTCCTAGAGAAGGGGCTGGGGCCTCATCACATGTGCCCCATAAGCTCATACCCGGAGTCCATTCTGCCTTGTTTTATACTGCTTGTACTGGCCTCCCAACCCAAATGTGACAACCACACCCATCACAGTCATTTCCTGAACTCTCCTTAGTTAGCACAAGGTTGGGCACAGAGCAGGTATTTAAGGAAACGTGTGTGTGTGTGTGTGTGTGTGTGTGTGAACAAAAAAAAAGGCGGGGGGAGAGAACTACTGATTGAAAGTTCTGGGCTTCTGGGCTTTCCTGCTCTCTAGGCCCAAAGTACAAATCCATCCATGGGGAGTGACTGTAGGGCCGGGGAAGTCTCAGAACGCCTAGGTGGAAGACCTCCTGGTAGTCGTCCAGGCCCATCTGTCTGTAG